CTCTTGTTACTTTCAATGTATACTGGACTCCCCCTCGTCTTGAGAATGAACAGACACTTGAGGTATTCAGTAATGGTGTTGAGTGAAGAAAACCCCAAGACTAAATGTTATACGATCGGATTGACAAACCTTGTCAATGTTAACAACTATTTTTACTTATTTATTATATGTCATTAAAAATGTTTAAACTCACTAAACTTGTAAGTCTAATACTTTTCTTGTCGACATGTATCTAACCAGGGCATGAGCTGAGTTTCTTTCGTTTTCTTCCTTATCAGAGAAGGGCCCCTCTAAAAAAAGAGAGAGAAAGTCTTATGGAACCAGGAGCCAGCATAGGCTGAGTCTAATTCACCATCCCGGGATTGAGTTCCAGGTTGTAGTAGCAGGGTCACTAAGGAGAGTTGACCAGACACGCGTTAGAAAAGTGTAACGGAGATTATGTTCATGGACACCTCTGTGTATTGGAGATAACAACTTTTGACGGTTTAAGTAAAATCCAACTATAATCTATTTATTGTATTCGAACCAAGCTTTTTGTATGTTGTTTTCTTCGGTTTCTATGGTGTTACATGATGCTACAACATCATTCATTTTTTATGAGTTCATTTTATTCTTGCTTTTATACCTTTTTGTGTTCTCAAGCTACAGCTTTGAGATACTAATGATACCGAAGAAGTGAGTTGTTGAACCTACTTTGATGGTACAACAATTTCTAATCTCCAAATTTACCAAAGAGTCTTTGGTTTAACGGTATCGTACTCTCTGGTTTCTTAGAAGGTCAGAGGTTCAAATTTCACCAAATGTGAGGAGGGTGTGTGAGTTTATTTGTTGTATTTGTCGTATAAAAATATTATGTACTTAAAAAAAATAGAAGTCAAAATGGAAAGTCCAACTTTTTGAAGAAATCTTTAAAGAGTGAAATGAAACATATGATGCATGTAGAAGAGTACAATATTACAAGAAAAATAACAAGTGATTAAAGCCCTCTTATGGGCGTTTACTAAATGCTTACCCGGTAAGTACTTACCGGATAATTTTCCTCATTGGATGAACATGGCAAGGGTCAAAAATCTTACCCAGTAAGAACGATGATAAGGATTGAGAGTCTTTCCCGATAAGTGAGGGTGAAAAAATCTTGCCGTTTGCTCTATATCATCGCTCATTACCGTTGTTGGCATGTGCCACTGCCATTAATCTCACTCCTTTGTTTTTTGTTTTTTTGATTCTCCAACTTTTTTATATGTCTATATACGTTTCATTAAATTGTTATAAAAGAGGGAGAATCAAAAGAAAAATATATATATCAAAGATGGAAATCGATGGCCCGGTCAGCAACGACAATGGACGGTAGAGAGAACAGACAGCAATGGGGCGTCGAGCAGTGGCGAAGGGGAGTTGTGTCGTTGTGTGTGAAGGGTTTGAGAACGATAAAACTGATTTATATTTTTTTTATTTTAAAACATTGTTAGTCGGATACATCTAACTTTTTTTACGTTAAAAGAATGTAGGTAACCCAGCTGATTTATTTATTCAAAAAAATTGTTCACGGACTCAATCACTCAAAAAGATAAAGTTTAACGGTTTTTTAATTCAAAAAAATATTTCAAAGACTTAATCATTTAAAATAAAAAAAATTAACGGTTTTTTCATCTGAAAAAAAGTTTTTGTGAGAATGAGAGTTGAGGAGAACGTAAGAAGAGATTTGAACCCTTAATCACATTAATCTCAAATTCATATTATGAACCATGTTTGATATGATAATTGATCTGGTGCATTTCATCCTAACGTGCATCGTATGGTGGAGATCCCTTCTTACGCTTCTCACTTAACTCTCCTTGTCACCAGAACACAACCCTTTAGTAATATTTTTTTAGTTTACATTTAAGTATATAATTCAATATTGTAATTTTAAGAAAAATAATTAAAATAGCCATTTTTCACAGTGGATTTTACCTCCTAGAAATATGAAAATAGCATAGGTTTGCAATTGGCAGGTCCGTAATTTGTGGAGGTGTCAACGTATAAAAAAATGAGAAATTCATATTATTTTTACATTTTGACTCCTTCATAAATTATGAACCTGCCAATTACAGATCTATAACTATTTTTTTTAATTTTGAGAAAGAAATAACTAAAATGTAAAATGATGTAATGAAAATGACAATTTTAATTAATTTCGCTATATCATGACAACTGCTTTATGTCTTTATTTTTATTTCTTGTACTCTTATGTCGGGCTGTAAACGAACCGAACGAACACTAACAGAGGCTTGTTCATGTTCGTTCGTTTAACTTAACCGAACAAACGAACGAACACGAACGAAAATCTTTGTGTTCGTGTTCGTTCGTTTAGAAATCAGATGTGTTCGTGTTCGTTTATGTTTGTTCGTTAACATGTTAAACGAACGAGTTAAACGAACACAAATAAATATTATTTGAATTCAAAGTAAATAAATAAAAGATTATATATTAAATTTAATATATAAACGAACATAAACGAATAGTAAATGAACGAACGTTCACGAACATAAATGAACGAACGAGACTCTTGTTCATGTTCGTTCGTTTAACTAAACGAACAAAAAAATTTGTTCATGTTCATTCATTTATTAAATAAACGAACATAAACGAACTTCCCGCCAAACGATTCGCTGAACGTTCGGTTCGTTTACAGCCCTACTCATATGAAGTTTCGTTTTAAAAACTTCATAATTTTCATGGAAAACTGTGTCACCCATTTTATGTTATTGGGCTTTTCATTGAAATTAAGATCTACAAAGTGAAAATAAAAATAGACAACTTTATTTTTTGTGTTTATTGGTTTTATTTGTATATTCTTATTTGATTGTAATTCGTTTAAACACAATTATTTAACGAGATTGTAAAATGGTGTACCAAAGTTTTAATTTTACGAACCCAACCCACACGGTTTGGGTTGGGTTGGGTTATTCAAATGCTTTCAACCCGACTCGTGTGCAACTCTAAATATCGTAATAGATTGTTTTATATGGCTAAATAATAAAACACCATATCTAAAATGAGACCAATCTGTTTTCGTGAAACTCGTGAGACTATTTTTTTACAATTGAAGCTTCACAGCGAAACGATGTGAAGGTAAAAACATCTGAACTTACACAACAAAAACAATATGAAGGTTACCTTCGCAGCGTTTTGCTACGAAGTTTCAAGTGTAAAAAAGTGGACTCACGGCTCTCACGAAAATGGATTGGTCTCACGGGATTCCAAGTCTCTCTCTCTGTATATATGAAAATATATATTGACGTGATATGTTTATATTTGAGTTATTGTAATGTTTTCGGTGGTTAAATTTTTTTTAAGTTTTATATTTTGATTAAACCTTTTTTATAACTAAGTTCAATCCCACGAACTCAGTCCAATTTGAACAGTTATGTTGGTTAGGTTATGCATCAACTTTTTTTTGAATGAGTTAGGATTTGTTACACTAAAATAGTTGGTTTGAGCTGTTCAAATGCCTTTAAACCAACTATTTAACTGAGTTTTAAACAGTTTAGCGATTTAACAGTTCAAAAATATGTCGATATCGTTCAAAATATGAAATTTCCATTGAGTTTTTTTTTGGAGTTTTCCCCTGATTTTACCATACCAACATATTTTATAGGATAAGATTTATTTAATCGGTTTTAGAAATTCCAAATATTTATGTGTTTAAAAGATTTCCTTAATCGTTTAGAACATCTCCAACATATTCTTTATAATTTCTCTAAAATAGAGAACTAAAAGTCAAATTTTTTAAAAAGATTTAAGGGCCGTTTACCTAAATGCTTACCCGGTAAGTGCTTCCCTTAAGAGTCAACACTATAATTTATTTTATCGGGTAAGATTGTAATACCTCAAAACGTATCTTATGCAACAATTTACCTGGTAAGCGCTTACCTGAGTAAGAGTCGTCACCCTCACTTACCGGGTAAGACTCTCCATTCTTATCATCGCTCTTACCGGGTAAGATTATTGTCTCTTGCCATGTTCATCTGGTAAAGGAAATTGCCCAGTAAGTACTTACCGGGTAAGTGTTTAGTAAACGACCCCTTATATTTAACTACAATGGATAATTTTAAAGAGTTTTTTGTCATTTTTTCCCGATTATAATCTTTATTAATGTTAATTGTTATTAATTAACATTAATTATTAACTAATACTAATATTATTTATTTATTAATATTATTATTAATTTTTCTAAAAAATATTAATTATCATTATTATTAATCTTATCAATTATTTTTATATTAATATTATTCAGTATATTTAGTCATCGGAAACAAATATAATAATTTTTAAAATAACATGACTGACATGATTTGTATAAATAACATGGTTTGTAAAGTAAACAATCCTCAATATAAATATTATATACATATATATATATATATATATATATATAATAAATTTGAAAATCTATTATTTAATAGTTGATTTTGTATTAATTAATATATTATATTATTAATGATTTGTTTGAATGTATTATGAAATGTTAAAAGTTTACTAACTTCTTAAACTGTTCTTTTTTATCATTTTACATTTTGAAATAATTTACTGATAAATTCTTATCAAAGTTATTAGTTTATCAGCTATCAACTAATTTATTTGTAAACATAAGTAAATAACCTTAAAATAAAAAAAATGGTTTTAGACCTTATGAATTTATTTATAAAAGTTTTACCAAACCACAAGGGTGGTGGCTGATTGGTTTAAGCTTGACTCTAAAGGTCAAAAGTAACAGAAAGTCACAGGTTCAAATCTAAAGAGAAATAAAAATCCTTTATGGCCATGGAGGTTCAAATGCAGTGACTTCAGACTATCTACAAAGTAGGTGGTTGTCTTGTGATTAGTTGACTCGTATATCGGGTTGAATATCCAGATTAATAATTTTTTTTTTAATTACCAAAATAGAATAATTAATTTTCATTAAAAAATTAAAAGATGCAAAACTTACAGGTATTCTTATGCAGTAACAGATATACCCATGGATCAACTGAAAAAGGTTGATCCAGCCCTAGTAGTAATCAGAGTCGATTGGATTTGGGAACTGGGGGATTTCAACCTTTTCGTGCCCTAAAAACTTGCACTCACTGATTCAACTTCAATTCATTCATCAAACCAACAGATATGTTGCAGTGTATATTTCTCCTTTCCGATTCCGGGTATGTTGGTTAAAGGTTTTAAGTCTAGTCTTTGTATTTGTGTTTCGGTAATTGAAATTACAATCACATTTGCAGAGAGGTGATGCTGGAGAAGCAGCTGACTGGCCATCGTGTCGATCGATCAATCTGTGCTTGGTTTTGGGAGCAAACAATCTCTCAACCTGATTCCTTCAAGGTGAACTTTCTGTTCTCAATTGATTTATTGTTTCCGTTTGTATTCTATTTATGGAGATATATTTTGGTTTGAATTTAGGTTTTGCCGGTAATTGCTTCACCAACGCATTACCTTTTTCAAATTGTACGTGAGGGGATCACATTTTTAGCCTGCACTCAAGTTGAAATGCCACCTTTGATGGGAATTGAGGTTAGTAGCATTTAGATTTCTCCCCCTCTTTTCACTTGTTAGTTATTTCTATTGTAAATGGAAAATTTGGATCAAAGCTGTACTGGTGCATTAATTAACTAAATTACCCCTATATGCAGTAATATGTGGGAATTGGTTCCATCCCTTAACCTGCTTGCAACGTTGATAAGATTAAAACTGGTTGGTCTCCTCCAAGTTACTATTTTGGGGCATATGGTATTTATGTTTGTTCTATACTTCATGAGGTCTTGGTCGCTTGGATGGCGTCAACACTTCGATGAGTATCCAACATACATATTAATGTAGATTTTAAAAAGTCCGAACCATCCATTATCATTACACACAATTGTACTATGTTGAGGTTCTAGGCGTCCAAGGTAGTGTTTATGATGCACAGCATTTGGAAATGAAAGGAGATACAATGAAGAAAAGCTAAGTAATCATGATGCTGATGCTATGGTTGGTACAGAATGATTGGACACCTTAAAAGGAACATGCAAGCGGTGATTCCATGGTGCATATAGCATATCTCGTAATCAGGAACTTGAGAGTTTAGTCAAGTATCATAAGAATAAGTTACAAATTGAAGTGATCCCCTTGAAATTACCTTCAGCTGATCCTCCAAAATCTTGGTTATCTTCTATTTTTCTGCCTCGTTCCCAGCTGTTTCTTCTCTTTCTGTAGTGACTTTTGTACAAGCAACCAGAAGCCACTTAGCTCATTTCATACCTCATATCTCTTGTAGATTCTTCTCCTTCTCTTGTCCCACTTAATGCTTGTTTCTTCTCTGCTTTTTAATTCACAAGATTCAGTGGTTTAGAGTAATATCAAAATGCTCTTATTAATAATTTGTTATTTATCTATGTAGAACCAGTCTGAGAATGCTGTTGAGATTTGTTCAGTGAAATGGTTAGCTACTTGGGCATTCCTGCCTCTTGTTTCTCGGCTCATATTGAGCTCTTTACAATCCACCAGCAACCACTTACCATATTTGACTGAATAGTTCTCATATCTCCTGTAGAGTCTTCTCCAAAAAGAAGGTAGTTTTTACTACCTCTCTTGTCCCACTTTTTGCTTGCCATTAGCTTATATTAACACTTCCATTTAGTTGCCTGAGATTTTCCAGTCTAGGCCAATTCATTGCAGTATTCTTAAATCAGCATTTCATTCCATATCCTCAGAACCAACTCGAGTAAGGTGTTGAGATTTTCATCAATTGAAAGATTAGCTATTTCATATTGGAGGTTGTGATGCTTGCATGTTCTCAGCATCAAACGAGCTTGGTGACAGCTTCTTCCCTTGAGTTAATTTTAAGTCATGACTTGTTATTTTCAGGGATGCACTGCCGGCATTACGACAGTTAGAGTAAGACTCACATTAATGAAGTATACGAATGTAGTTGGCCTTAGGTGGGTGTTGAGGATTGCTATACATGTTCACGAGGCCTGGATCTTGTCTAATTTCTAACAGGCTTCCATTTTTGACCTAGAACAAATAGTTTGGGTGAAAGGTTGCAGGAAAAAGGATTACTTACTGATGTTGAAGAAAACAAGGGCTCACACATTTGTCTTATACTGTTTAGATACATTCACTTGATACTAGTTCCATAAACATTTTCTTTATTGTGAGAGGTGAAAATAGTGATTTTGGGGGAAGAGAAAGGAGTAAGAAAATCAGGACAATGGACAATAGGATTTTGACTGCTGTACCTTGTATTTGTGTTCATCATTGAAGCTATCTTATTGATCTATATCACATATTCGTCTAGGAAGAATACATGTGTTTGACTAGTCAACTTCTAGTTTCTTTGCAGAGTAGCTGATGTTCTCTCTGACTATCTTGGAGGGTTAAATGAAGATGTAATAAAGGATAATTTTGTCATCGTATATGAGGTATGCTGGATTTAAGTTGTGCATTGTGACTTCATCAGAAACTGCTGCTTAGTTTTCTTATATTAAAGATTTATTTGTTAACAACTCACTTATTTGTAGTTATTTGGATGATCATGAGACCTTAAGCTTTTCAATGTTTTTAAGTCACAAAGTTGAATCTCTTGCATTGTAGCGAACTTTTGTTTACTCCCCTTGTGTTCTTCAGTATGTTAAGTATCAATTATGTGTATATGGAGTTTGTTTGATAGTTGTGTTTCCTCTCTACTGAAAAGTGGGGAATATGAAATATCCAATTGTATTGAAACAAATCATTCCCCTGTTTCTTCATTTGTTGAAGTAATATTGGCCATGGTAATTCTTTTTTCTTGTTATTGTCACTTGCAGCTAATGGACGAAATGATAGACAATGGATTCCCCCTAACTACAGAACCTAACATACTGAGGGATATGATAGCTCCTCCAAACATTGTTAGCAAAATGTTGAGTGTTGTCACCGGTAACAGTTCTAACGTGAGCAACACCCTTCCAGGTGCGACATCATCATGTGTACCATGGAGGACGACACACTTGAAGCATGCAAACAATGATGTGTATGTCAATCTTGTTGAAGAGATGGATACAATTATAAACAGGCATGCACCATGATTTCCTTCAACTTAAGTTAACTTTCTCACTTCCTCTCTTGCGATGAATTCCACTGCCTGGCTTACTTATTTTTCGATCTGGATGATGTCTTTTTGTTTCTTGTTCTGGTTTTTTCCAACTTTCAATGAAACAAAGACATAAAAATATCATCTTAGATTATGGAAGAGGAATGGTGGCTGTTCCTGCAGCTGTCAAAATGATAGAAATCAACCTATAATTCTGCACATCACAAAATAGTTCTTAAGCAACTGGAAACATGTAGAGAAAACAATGCCAACATGTTCTTTTGCCACAAAAGATGACCTTGGGAAGGGGAATGCTTAAATCGAAAGATGGGGTGGTTTTTTACTTCTGTTTTCTTGGCAATGGTAATTTCTGAGGAAGATTGTACTGTTACAATGTGTTGGAATGTTTGACTTGCATATTTAAAAATGCTTGTTATATTTTTCATGAGACTTTGATATGATTTGAGCATTAGATATGTAGCCTAGCTCCAAGTTACCAATAATCCGACTTTGGACTCTCTTCACCCAACATTTCCTTCTCTTATCCGAGTTCTATCATTGCATGTTCTCAGTTATGAATATCTATCCATAATCATGACTAATAATCAAGAAGTGAAGGGGGTAATTGGGATTTTTCCTAAGTAGTTCTTTTTTCTGCTCAAGATCCCTCATTGAACTCAATGCTCTTATTGGGTTTTGTGGAAACAAACAAAGGAAGGCCATCATATGCATAACAATCCATTGAATCCCACTCATGATTTGAGAGGCAATATTTGCATGACATGATGGAATGCCATGGAACCGACTGGATTGTTCATTGCCTTGAACTGCTCTACCACTAAAAAGCTTTATGAACACCCCGAACTATTGTGTTTTAGGAAATTTTCTGGAGTGTCTTGTAAGCCCATTCATGGAGCTAACATGGGAATCCACACAGAGTATCTGACCTGCTTGAAGAAGTTATACAACAAGAGCTACTAGAGTTCTTGCATAGTCTCAACTTTTGAGTTTATTGGAACGTCAAGACAAGCCTGCCGTACTTACCTTCACTCGGTTCTCGTCTAGTACTACTCAGTCATCTAGCTATCTCCTCTCCAAAATCTACATATCAACGCCTTTCTGAGCTGCTCTGAGATGTAATAGCTTAGCTCCATATTAGACAGGGCAACCATAGTTGCCTGTGGTTGGAGAGATTGGAGAGGTATAGGTGCTTGGAGGAGGCAATGTAAACATTTCTGGTTTAGGTTCTCCCTGGATTTTCTACTGGTGCAATTATTGCAATAAGTGGTGTTACAAAAGGCCGAAGGGTCCGTATCGGCTTGGTTAGCGTTTTTATCCTTGGGTTCTTCATCCAACCACATATTGCTACCTTAACACAAGTATGCAAATTATTTGCCTATTTTTTTGCATGTACACCATCCTGCTATGGGAGGGATGGTGATAATATGGTGATACCTGTTTGTACAAGCTTCAAAGACCTCGCTACCCAGTCATAGATAAAGCATTTGTGCTCCTCTTGATAACTAAAATTCTTTAGAACCTTTTCAGTGGCAACCGAATGGGATGAAACAATGAAGTGTAGAAATTTACAAAATTGGTGCATAGATTCATTTCGGCTTCATGAGTAGGCCTTATGAATTGCTAGTTGAAATCAAATGTTTTCATGCATACCCTTGCATTGCAGCATGGTCTAAGTGAAAGGATACAAATCTTTCAGGTTTTGTTAAAATACTATTCCAAGGTGGATTCAATATAGACTTTTCTTACAAGATTAACACCTTTTGTTTATGAAAACAAGGGAAATTCCCTTGTATTCCCGAATCTCAAAAACTTGGAAATCGTAACTTTTTAAGGAAGAAGATGGAATTGGTGAAGATGAATCTTATTTTGTATTTTCCATTTTCAATTTTGTTTCCACGAACTTAAAACTTCTACATGCCCTTTTCACCTATTTGACCAATATTTGGAAGTGGGTGATGATTTTGTTTTAATGAGCTTTTGCTATTACTGATCAACAATCATAAGACGACTTTTCCGAAAAAAATGACAAGACAACTTGAGCTAAAAATGCCTCTATTAAAACAAGCACATAATACAACGGGTTCATTCTGTAAATTAGAAGTACACTCAAGAACCAAACAGAAAAGCCAAGTACAAGGGGTAAAATGTGTTGTGAAAACTAAAACATGGTTTGACAAGCCTAATTGTATTGTGTGAACAATCTGTTGTTATCTTATCAGTGACCTTCACACTCATGTTTCTCCTGTATAACACTCTGCTGGGATCTCTTAAACTTGTATGCCCGATTTCTACAAATTGTTTTCTGGTATCCAAATGCATATTAGTAATTTGATCCGACTTTATTGGCTGATTTGAATAATATTGTTCTGGAAGCTTTATAGAGATACAGCTGCACGTGATTTGATAGATGCAATATTGTGCTCCAGCTAACTCCTATCTTGACTTTCTGCTGTTCAGCGGTGGGGTCTTAGTGAAGTGTGAGATCTTTGGTGTGGTTGAAGTGAACTCTCATCTTTCAGGCATTCCGGATTTGACCCTTTCCTTTGCAAACCCTTCCATTCTGAATGATGTGCAGTTTCATCCTTGTGTTAGATTTCGACCCTGGGAATCAGAACAGATACTCTCCTTTGTGCCTCCAGATGGACAGTTTAAGCTCATGACTTACAGGTAGATGGTGATATCCATATGGGATGGAAAATCAGTTGTCATCAGAAATGAAATCCTCCTTCCGTCTCAAAATAAGTGCTAATTTTCTATTTTAGTGTGTCCTAACTTAAGTGTCCACTTTCAAAAATAAGTGTATTTTCTAATTCTACCCTTAAATATCGGATGGTCTTTGCAGAAACAGTTGCTCTACTCTTTTGGAGTAGAGAGGTCTCGTGTGTGCACATCTCACACCCCCCCCCCCCCCAAAAAAAGACCCTATTTTCAAGTGAAATTTACTCAGTTGGGTTGGTCTGGTTTTAGCCTTAATTATCGTATGGAGAGATGGAGAAATTCATCACTCCCTCTGTTAGTAAGGGTGAATTAAAAAGTGTAGTAATTTCACATATCTAATCTTTTTCATTGTGGAAATTTATTTGGGATGGAAGGAGTAGTAAAAGAATAAAAATTCGTCAACGATAGGTGTGGGGTCCATGACACTAGCAACGATTTAAATTTGACTGATCTTTGCTCCATTGCAGGGTCAAGAAGTTAAGGAATACTCCTATATATGTAAAGCCTCAATTGAGTTCAGAGTCTGGCACATGTCGTCTTAGTGTGATGGCTGGAATCCGGTATGATCCTGGAAAACCCATCGACTCGATAGTGGTGCAATTTCAACTCCCTCCTTGTGTATCATCAGCCAATCTCACTGCAAACCATGGAACTGTTAATATACTTGCTGATAAGGTACCACTCTCATGCTGTCCTTAATCTATATCCATCTATGATCAATGTTCTAGTCATGGATATTGCATTGTTAAATGATTCTTGAAATGAGATTTTTGTTTCTAGTTATTACTCTTTGTTGATCAACACTGAAAGATAACTATGCCGCCTAACTATTTCGGTAGAGGTCAGATCTGCGTACCACCTGTAGGTGGAGATATAGCGGATCCGTTTGGTTTGATTTGCTTTATTATTAAATTGAATATTTTAGATAGACGTTTTGAGCCTTTTAACTCCAAATACTTTTGGGAATGTTTACTTGACAATTTCAACGTAAAGATCACATTTTTACGACGACCAAAATAGTCTTTTGTCAATCATAAAGATAAGAGTGTAAATTATTTCAGACTTGAAATTCATGACGGTCTTCACAGAAACAACCGCTTCACTCTTCTGGGTAGAGGTGTATGCATACATTCAACTCTCCCAAGGCCCCACCTCCGGGTGGGATATACCGGACTCGTTTGGTTTGGTTTGGTTTAATGAACATCCATAACTGATAGGACACATGGAAACTATGTGTTACTGGGGTTGACGAATGCTATAAAACGTGTTACTTTGATATGGCAGACATGTAGCTGGTCAATTGGACGGATTCCGAGAAATAAAGCCCCACAAATGTCTGGAACATTGGTGCTCGAAGAAGGGTTAAAACAACTGGACGTAAAGCCTACGTTTCAGGTAGGGTTCAAAATCATGGGCACAGCTCTATCTGGCTTGAAAATAGGTAAGCTTGATCTCAAGAATCTACCTTCACCTGCTCACAAGGGTTTTCGAGCTCAGACCGATGCAGGTCATTATGAAGTTAGATCATAGTCTTCAAAAAATGGTATGCTTTCAAGACCTTCTCTAGATTCAGATATGGAGTACCCCATCTCCTAATCTTTCCAGACAGAGGTAAGGTCTACGTACATTTTACCCCTACCTCTGGGTATACTGGTTTGGTTTATGTTAGAACCAACACATGGTTTGAATTTTGTAGTTTTGGTTTCGTTTGAGTGGTTTGATATTATAAAAACGGGTGAACGACTGTGTACAAAGGGAGCTCATTATATTCTTTAACCTTTCTTCGTGATGAGTTGCAATGGCTTTGTCGATATGTATCCATTTTTCTTTGCCGTTGGCAGATATGCACAAGTTTTTTGGGATAACTTACCCGTTAAGAGGCATGACAAAGACTGAGAATCTTGCTTAATTAATGCTACCGGGGTCTGGGTAAGAGATGCTTACCAACAATCTTACTATGCCATTTTAATGGCTGAAAATGTTAGGCAGTGGCTCTTACCTGGTAAGTGCTTACCAGGTTAGGGGTTGTTTGGCAGTTGCTGAATGGTTTGGTGCAGAATGATCGTCCACAATATTTTCCTTTTTGTTATTTGGTGATATGTGATGCCGTAAGTGACAACAATAGGGGCAGACCGGATTTTCGCAAGTAGAATTTTTGTTGGGTTTGAAAGTTTCACATACTAAACATCAAGAGGTGTTGTGGGATAATAGAAAATACAACGTGCATCAACCAAAAACCCAAAAATGTCCTTCAAAATCAAACAAAAAACCGAATAAATCTCTTGAAATTAACCAAAAGACTTGAAAATTCCTCGAAATGATGGATTTTGGCTAAAAACACGTCGGACGACTTTACATACCTTTGATCCATCTTAAAAAAGAACAACCGTTCGGCGAAAATCATGGATCTGCAGTTGCCTGCTGAACATTGAGCAAATTAAGCTATGAGTCGAGTCACTTGTGGTGCATAAAGTTTCGTCTTCTTCAAACGATCGTTACTTTTGAAAATTAGCATGTAAAGGTCTTCTTCTTCCGACTTGAGAGAACAATCGTCATTTTTTAAAAAGAACTCGAGAATACAAGATTTTGTCTTTCCCCTTACTTTCTTTCTTTCTTTCTCGCTCTCTTTCCTTCGTAAAAGATCTCGAGAACACAAGCTTTGGCATGAAATATCATATTTTAAATAAGAAACGGTTTATGATAAATGGGTAGGCTAAAGGCTCCATACTGTACTAATTTTCTCCACATTCATCAACGTTAATGATTAAACCTCTCATTTTTACATTTTTAATGTATGATTTAATCTGATTTTAAAATAAAAAGAGTGCATTTAGCAAACCTTTTAGAAACAATTCTAATTTCTCAATATTTTTGCACATGCCATGAATGCATGGACGGACCTAAGAGTAGAGAATACGGTGGTACGTGCCACCATATTATTCCTCCGTCGAAGGGTAAAAAAATTTAGGTTCGTGAAAGGTGCAACCGTATTAATTTGTTGTGTGCTACCGTATGTATTTTGAAACTACAATGGGAACAAGTTTTATTTGGTAGAGTTGGTTTGCAAGGCTTTTATTCCACCCCAGACCCAAGTTTGAATCTTGTTAATGTCATTTTCTTAGTTAAATGGTGTCACCGTTTGGAAAAAAAAAACTTTATACATTTGTTTCTTATAGTCAAACGGTGCCACCGTTTGAAAAAAAATTATGGATCCGTCCTTACATGAGCGGTGTAATTCATTTATAAACAAGTTGATTCTGAAATATATAATTTTGTTGTACGACTTAATTCATACATAACTTAAATACCTAATAGAAAAAAAAACCCCATAAATCCTGTATAAATTTAGTTGTATGAATTAAGTTGTGTATATAGATCTAGATAAACTGTTATTTGTTTATATGGAATAAACGGTCTGAGTGACAAAATGACCATTTTACCCCTGTTAAAATGTTTTCAAACACTTAGTCTATTGGGTGCTAGCCAAGATCTCCTTGAAAACCAACAAAACTCAGCCTAGCTACAGAAACAATAAGGGACCGTTTATTAAACACTTACTTGGTAAATGCTTACCGAATAAATTTCTTTATCGGATGAACATGACAAGGGCCAAAAATCTTACCGGGTAAGAGCGATGAGAATGATAGAGAGTCTTACCCGGTAAGTGAAGATTACAACTCTTACTCAGGTAAGCACTTACCCGGTAAATTGTTGCATTCAATACGTTTTTTGATGTACCAAAATCTTGCTCATCAAAATAAATTATAGTGTTTGACTCCTATAAGTAAGCACTTACCGAGTAAGCATTTGGGTAAACAGCCCCTAGGTTTCATGACTGGTAAGGGGATCTAGGACTCGCAATGGGTCAACTTATGTACCGATGCACCAAGCTAGTCGCCAATTTCCGTGACTTGCACATGTGTCGTGGCTTTGACTGTTTGACGAGACGGTCCATGTAGCAACAAGATGTAGTGAGCATGCCTGTGTTTGATCAAGATTTATGATTTTACAAGCACCATAGCAAAGAAAAACTACTTGAAGGGTTTGTATATGTGGTTCATGAGGTGTACCAACAACATGAGCACAGTTGGTTGCCATATATCTAGGAGACACACTAAGGGGCCGTTTATCAAACACTTACCCGATAAGTGCTTACCGGTAAATTTAACACTATTATTTACGTACTGGGTAAAATTTTAGTCCACCAAAATGACATCGTATGCAACAATTTACTCGGTAAGCGCTTACCGTGGTAAGAGTCGTCGGCCTCACTTACCGGGTAAGATTCATGGTTCTTGTCTCGTTCTTACCGGGTAAGATTTTTGGTCCTTACCATATTCATCCGGTGAGGTAACATGACTTGGTAAGCACTTACCCGCGTAAGTATTTGGTAAACGGCCCCTAACAATTTTCTTCAAGAGAGAATCAAAGGAGTTCCACATGTCCTCACAATTTTGTATGTGTTTGTATATGGGGACAAGTTCATTTAAAAACCTTAAATATTTTAGAAACCCAGATTCCACCTATTTTGTCTGATCATAAATATATTTCATGACATTCATCATGAATATTTATCGCATTATTCATTACGAATATTACATAAAATTGATGGTTCCTAGGTTCCTAAACAAACGACCCTCTCTCTCTCTCTCTCTCTCTCTNTCTATATATATATATATATATATATATATATATAGATGTAGTATATAAATTTATATACGGCAAAACTTACATACCCTTGTCACTTTGATGAAGTTTGAACCTTTAACTTCCAGAGAGAGTTAAGATCCATAGGTAATCCGGCTATCAGTACCCTGGCATGGATGGACCCAACTACATGGTATATGTGGCACGTACCACCGTATTATTTCTCCGCTGAACGGTGCAACCGTATTAATTTGTTGTGTGTCACTCTATGTATTTTGAAACTACAATGAGAACAAGTTTTATTTGGTAGAGTTGGTTTGCAAGGCTTTTATTCCACCCTAGACCCAAGTTCGAATCCTGTTAGTGTCATTTTCTTAGTCAAATGGTGCCATCATTTGAAAAAATTTCCCTATATTTTTTTCTATGGTCAAATGGTGTCACCGTTTGAAAAAATTTCTGGATCCGTCCCTGACCGTTGGCCAACAACCAGTATATTTAAGAATTTCTGAAGTGTTGGATCACATCCAAACATTCCAGTCCAACTGAAACCGGATAGAAGAGGACTGCATGACTCCATAGAATAACAAAGGACGGCAGCCAATTCTAATATAAAAACAAGCCTTCTTGTGGACATATAACATCTGAGTTTTTTTTTTTAATTAACCTGGATATCCAACCCGCTATGCGAGCCGACTAATCCCAAGACGACCACCTGCTTTGCAGATAGCCCGGAGTCACAGGCATTTGAACATCCGTGGCCACAAAGGGATTTTTATTCCTCCTTGGATTTGAACTTGGGACCTCCTGATACTTTTTCCAGCTTCTGCAACTATTTTCTCTCTTCAATTCTTAAAAGACCTTCATCAATGGCGTCTTTCGAGTCTTCTCCAACTTCATCGTCTTCTGATCCAACCGAAAAATGGACATACGACGTCTTCCTAAGCTTCAGAGGCAAAGACACTCGACATAACTTTGTAAATCGTCTCTATGCAGCTCTAGTTCGCAGAGGAATATATGCGTTCAAAGATGACGAGATGATCCGTAGAGGGAAGCTCATCTCTACGGAACTCCTCAAAGCCATCGAACAATCCATGTTTGCAGTCGTTATTTTCTCGGAAAATTACGCAAACTCTTCATGGTGTTTGGATGAACTTGCCAAAATCATCGAATGCCAAGATCGGATGGGCCAGAAGGTGTTACCGGTCTTCTACCATGTAAATCCATCCGATGTGCGTGGACAGAAACGAGACTTTGCTACGGCCTTTCAGCAACACGAAGAGGAGTTTACGGGGAATATGGATAAGGTGAGCAAGTGGAGGGACGCTTTAGCTGCAGCGGCCAATTTATCTGGCTGGCACATCTTGAAAACAGTCGACCGGTTAGTTTTCCTTGATCTGTTTTTCGGTTAAGGTTCTAATAAAACCTACTTTAGTCATTACAGTCAAAATTCACTTTCGAAAAATTGACAAAGTACGACCAAGAAACACGGTTCATCCACAATTTGTCACCTCAACAAATTAATGGTTCGAAAAAAGCTCTACTATTTGGGGTAGAGGTCAGGTCTATGTATATCTCATCCCCAGACCCTACTTCCGACTTCCGAGTAATATACCGAGTGTGTGTGGTTTGGTTTTCTAAATTGCTAACAATGCGCTTTAAACTATAGGGATGAATCTGCATTCATCGACAAGATTGTTCAAGAGATCTTTAGCGGTATACGACCTCGTGGTATGGAGAACAACCTAATCGGTATCAAATCTCGTCTGGATGCATTGAATTCGTTATTGGCTACCGAAGCAACAGAAGAGGTGTTGATTATAGGAATATGTGGAATGGGAGGAATCGGTAAGACAACTATCGCCCGAGCTTTGTTTGGAAGGATTGCTTACAAATTCGAGGGTAGTAGCTTTGCTAATGATGTTAGAGAAAACAGTTCTAGTAAAAAAGATATATGTGCCTTACAGGGAAAAATTCTAAGAGATGTTCTAGTGACGCAGCACGTGACCACGATTCAAGATCCTGAGCACGGAGCCGACATGATACGAAAAAGATTTCGAAATAAAAAGGTTCTTTTGGTTCTTGATGATGTTGATAACTTAACGCAACTAGAGTTCCTAGCTGCACGACGTAAGTGGTTTGGTCTGGGAAGTAGAATCGTTATAACCACAAGAAACGAGCATTTGTTATCAGATGCAAATGCAAAATACAAACCTCCTATTTTACTTGAAGACCAAGCTCTTGGGCTCTTCAGTAGGCATGCTTTCCGGAAAAATATCCCACCGAGTGGGTACGAGGAGTTATCATATCGTGCAATACGCTACACTGGCTGTCTTCCTCTAGCCCTGAAAGTTTTAGGTTCTTTCTTCTACAAAAGACAAGCAGATGTATGGGAAAGTGCTTTAAATAGACTGGCGAAAAAACAAAATGCCGAGATTTTTGAGACACTGAAGTTGAGTTTTGACGGGCTTGATGATTCCGAGAAGGAAATATTTCTAGACATTGCATGTTTCTTCAAGGGGAAAGATGAAGAACATGTAACGAGAGTTCTTGATAGCTTCGGTTTTGACCCAGTGATAGGGATCACGATTCTTATTGAGAAATCTCTTGTAACCATTTCGAATAAAAGGCTCAATATGCATGATCTCATACAAGATATGGGGAGGCAGATAGTTTGTTCGAGTTTCCCAAATAGTAGGCTATGGCAACTCGAACAAATCCATGATTTTGTTAGCAGAAACAAGGTAATAATGTCTCTTTATAAGATTTTGTTTCTAGAATGAGCACAGTTTAATCACAGCCTCACTACTCCTCGGGATGGAGGAAAGTTGTGTACATCTTACCCTCCCTAGACCCCACTCAGTGTGGGATTTACTGAGTTTGTTCGGTTTGGTTTATAGTTTGATCACGGTTTAGTTCTTTGTTGCAGAAACTAAAAGCAATCGAAGCCATAGTTGTGCCGTACAAGCAACACAATGTTGAGAAGTACGATGAGGAGCTAGGTTTTAGAGCTAATGTTTTCGAAAGCATGAAGAATCTTCGGCTACTTGATATTGACCAGAAATTCACTTCTCGTGAACCTACCATTCTCCCTTACGACTTACAATGGCTTCAATGGAACGAATACCCATTTTCTTCTTTGCCTCTAGCACACATGCGTAAGCTTGTCGGGATTGAAATGCTCTATGGCAGAATCAAACATCTATGGAAGGGGCAAAAGGTACTTAGTAGATGAAATCGATTGCTTTATACTATTATATAGATAAACAACACCCTTTTATTTGTACTCGTATTGAGTAACCTTTTCACCTGGCTACGTTTTTTGCTTTTACAACCTCTCTACCCCTTGGAGTAGAAGCAACGTCTACGTACCTTCTACCCCCCAGACCCTCCTCTGTGTGGAATATACTGGGTTCGTTTGGTTTGGAACCTCGGTTATAAATCCATTCATTTCTAGTTGTTTTCTTGTCAGATTTTTCCGAACTTGAAGTTTATTCACCTTCAGAGGTTGGGATGGCTAACAAAGTTTCCAGATGTCTCCGGAGCCCCAAATGTTGAGAGGTTGGTTTTATTATATTGTGAGAGTCTGGTTGAGGTTCACGAGTCTCTTGGATCTCACAGAAGGCTTGTTTACTTGGACATGAGTGGTTGTGAGAGGCTAGTGTGTCTCCCATCCATAATCGAGATGGAATCCCTGGAGACTCTGAGACTCTCCGACTGCTATCGTCTTGAAAGATTCCCAGAAGTCGGGGCATGCATGGTAAAACTATCAAATTTATATCTTGATAGTTGTTTTCGAGTAGAGGAATTGCCATCATCAATCAGATATCTCTCTAGTCTAAGCTTTTTGCATCTCCAAAACTGTAAGAGTCTTATGAACATTCCAGACTCTATTTGTGAGTTACAGCAGCTTAAGAGCCTTCAACTTCACAACTGCGAGAAACTGCAGAAATTGCCAGAGGAGCTTGGAAGCATGAAGAATTTAGAAGATCTTGGGCTAGGAATTACAGGTTACGTTGGGGCCTTAGAACGACCGGAGTCCATTAACTTTCATACTTTTAAAGATTTATGTTCCTTGAGAAAGTTAGATCTCAGTCGGAGGCAAATCAGAAACGAAGACTTTCCCCAAGATCTTCATGGATTTTCCTCCTTGGAAGAATTACATCTAAGCGGCAATTCCAAATTAATCGAGTTGCCTGCAAGCATCTCCCATCTTTTTCGTCTTAAACACCTAGAGTTGAACGAGTGCTGCCAACTTCAAAAGTTGCATGTGCTCCCATCAGGAATACAAGTACTCAAGGCAAGTGATTGCAGCTCACTAGAAAAGATTGAAGATCTATCGGAAGAGTATGAATGGTTATACAAGATATGGCTTGTTGGTTGTGTGAAACTTCTAGAGGATCAAGAAAATGAAAGATACCTTGACAAGATGTTGCAAGAATCTTTCCTTAAGGTTGTTGATCCCTACCCTCATATCTCATTCTATATTCACTGAAGTAGGTGCTTAAGTAGCGATTTTGACAATGATGTTTTCTGTTGAGCACAGAGATGTGCTGCTGTAGATCATCGGTTAAGTATTGCTATTCCTGGAAACAAGATCCCGAGTTGGTTCGAAGAAGAACAACATGGGCACCAAATCACATTGAAGTTACCTCACGAATGCCATATCCAAATCATGGGGTTTGCAGTTTGTGGTCTGTTTCAAGGGGTGCAAATGGGACGTTGTTCTCCGGAGATCATCTTCACAATAGTGAACGATGAGAAGTCCATTCCTAAGTCAGAGGTTGATTGTATCGTTGCATCTGCAGCAGCTGAGAATGGGAATGTGTGGATTAGCTATATGCCGTTCAGTTTCTTTCAGCAGATGTATCATGATTCTGAAAGAGAAGATTGGTCTCATATCGAAGGTAATCTTGTCACGAGTATAAGGTTACAAGGTGGTGAAGAAGCTGTAAGATGCGGAGCACATATAGTGTATAAACAAGATGTGGAATTGATTGGGGAACCTAAAATTTGTATCCCTGATTATAGAAACTTGGAGTATAGTCATGGCTCAGGCAATACTCGTGTGTGCTTAGAAATGTATATGAGCCCATGGTGCCTTTAAAATCAGGAAGGTGAATCAGAACCAGACCCTTGTTTTCGTGAGCCATGTATGACTTCTAATCCCTTGTCAATTCCACTTCCACAACATCATGGTCACTGTATCACTATAACTTTAATTTGTCTCGTTTAAATCCTACGCAACATTCTAAGTCATCTAAGGTAAATTCTTGATGTATTTTTGCTTTGTTTAGTTATAATTATGGATTTTCTCTCATATGTACTATTCGTATGCATGTTTGGAACCTTTGATATGTGGTTCATGAAATTAACTTTCTCATAAGATGTAGCCACACCCGATATCTCTTGACTAATCCCGATTACTCTCTTTTTCGATGTACCTTCCTCCCCCCATTCTCCCTATAGAGGACACCTAAGGTGGTATCTCCTTAGCCTTCACCTATCATGCATAATCATGAAGGTTCTATCCTAAATTGTAGCTCTTTGTGTAACCACATTGACAACTTATTTCTTCATGCCTTAAGATGTCAGCTTCACCATGACAGAGTCAGGTACGGTCGTTTGGTTACAAGAATTTGAAAAATGTCAAGCAAAGTTCATACAATAGAAAGTATATTGACACAAAAGAGAAGGAACATATATGGTACAAGAATTTTCAAAAACCACATTGTCTAATAGAATCAAATTGATTTCGACTACTTGAGACAATAAAGTAGCATATGGACACTATGTCGTGTACTTCTCAGAATGTAACTAACCTAGAATCCAGTAGGTCAATAGAAGGAGATGGCATATACGACCTTTCTACGGTGTTGTCGCTCAAACGTAGATATAACATCATCGATCACATCTTCCCAACGATCAGTTGCTTCAAGCTACATGTTCAGGAAATATTGCATGGTGTAGTAATTGATAAACAAAGAAACAGAGTTGAAAAACACGAGATGGTACAGACCTCTTGACACAATGCTAGAGTTTGACGAGCGCCAACCGCAGCCTCATCATGGTTATCTTTTACTTCCAAGTTTACCACCAGCACAGGTTTCAGAAGAATATGATCACGAGTATGAAGATCTGCACGTAATTATCGCCAGTACACGCAGATTCAAAAAAAGTATTAAAAATGAATAAAATGAAGACTACATGAACAAGATTAAACCAAACCAAACCAAACCAAACCAAACGAGCCCAGTATATGCCACCCAAAGGTGGGGCCCAGGGGCAGGATGTGCACAAACCGATCCTCCACTCCAAACCAAAGAGTAGAGCGGCTGTTTATATGAAGATCCCCGCATGCAAAAAGTGTGTGTGAAAAAGAAAGCTTCCTCAAAATATATGATTCTGTACTTGAGGTAGATGGATACAATGAGATAGTGATCAAATGGTTGATTCTTGCTAATGAAGTTCATAACTGAAAGAACCATTTGCATACCATCAAATATGTTTAGCTCTATTTTTTATCAAATTAAGAATGGAAGAAAACAAAAAATTCAAATCATCTTCCGTTCCCCATCTTTTGCCCCATCTCCCTCACAAACCCCCAAGAAATTTATTTCACACACCCAAGCACTTCTCTATCAATTCAATGAACTTGTTCAATTCACAAACCGCTCCTAGAAAGAAATTTGCACTAGATTAAACAACCTAATATTAAAATTTCATCGGCTCTGTAATTATCTGGTTATCACCTTAACTCTGAACCTCCCTTTGACAAAAAAAGACTGGCATTGAGTTGTAATCTACTCCAGTTGGGTCGTCATCTCCGAGGTAGGGCACAATATTACTTTGATTAGGTCATCATCTCCGATATAGGGCACAATCTTACTTTGTTTGGGTCGTCATCTTTTCCCTATGTGTTGTCATCTTCCTCTCTCTCTTTCTCTCGGGCAAGCATCACCAATACCCAAAAAATAATCTTCACACACCGACTTGGTTTTATGGTCAGAGAAGATGTATGGAAGCAAGTGGGTTTAAGTTTAGGTTCTGACAGATATGCCCATCATAGGATATTCATTACAACTCTAGTAGATGCTTAGAAAAAGCTCATATTACATGATCTAGTAATGTTGCAAGATGCTTATTTGGTAGCATCAGTCTAGCTCCATTAGGAGAATAAAGGATGAGTGTATGCAACAACAAGCCTTTTATCCCAAGCTAGTTTGGGTAAGTTATAATTGAAATTAAACAAAATAAAACAGTGCAACTGAAAAGCAAACATAAGGAGGTGAAGCCCCTAGGGTTCTGGAACATGTATAGCATCCTTGCACTCCCTCTTTTCTAAGGCTAACACGTTCCATATACTCCACTAGCAAATCTCTCATCACTACTTCCCTCATGCCAGTCTTTGCCGTCCTCAATGTCTCCTAACAACCTCCTTTTGATATTATTTGGTTGTCTAACTGGTGCATTTGACAGTCTATTCTGGAGACGAGTATGCAAGCATGCATAAGTTCCTTGAATTCGAGTAAGATGATACAAACTGAGATTATTCTTGGAGTTTTCTGCTCTACTCTTCTCTATTTGATCTTCTTTCCCGTTTCTGTCGATCAATATATCACATCTAGTCATCTACAGCAAATAAAAACATGCTACTGTAAACACAGCAGTTGATACATTTGCACACTAGTCCCCTCTAATCCAATATCATGTTCAATGCACACCCAAAGATAGAAAGAGTTCACCCCTTGATTTACTGATGCTGATGTGCACAATGTCAACTTTTACGTAGCAGTATGCTCCCTATCTCCATCTATAACAAATGACCAAAGGTGTGCAAGCTACTCTAACTGGATTGTTTTTATGTACTGTTGATAACTATCTTTGTAACTCCAAAATGTTTATACTTGATCTTATATATTCAAAGCTAGGTAAATCTGAAAGGAAAATAAATTATGTATAGAAACGGACATATAGCCACATGAACCCGATAGAATTTCTATACAGGAAATCTAGGCCAAAATCAATACGCAGGGCAACAACCAATGCTTTCAATACGCAGACTCGTCCGATAGAGAAATATTGAACCATTAGGGAAAATCATACTTGGGGATAGGGGTGCTCACGGCCCGGGTTGATCGGTTTGGAGCCGTTTTAACAACCCAACCCAATGTTGGCGGTTTGAAAAATTTCAACCCAACCCAACCCAAACAAAAGTTCAACCCAACCCAACTCAACCCGTTCGGGTTGATCGGGTTGTGTTTAAACAATGTAAAATCACATAAAAATAAAGGAAACTTTCATTTGAAATACGACCGACCATTCAAGATAATATGCAAGTTCATCACATATTTAGATATTACAATAAAAATGCCTAAACCAAATGATAATACATCAATCAACAACAATAGTTTTAGACGTTTCCAACCCCGATGCTTTCGCTTTCTTGACGTTGAGGTTGGTCATGTCATGATTGTCATCTACAATTCAAAGCTAAAGTTAAGGTCGGGTTCATCGGGATGTCGGGTTGGTCGGGTTTTTTTGCGCCTGACCCGATTCCAACCCAATAAGGTCGGGTTGGCTAATTTTTTTATCGATCATGCAGGGTTACCTCGGGTTGGGTTTTTTTTTTAAAATTCGGGTTGGGTTGGTCGGGTTCATCGGGTTTTTGAGCACCCCTGCTTGGGGATACACCTTGGCTTAAACAGACAGCTTACCCTCACTTCTCCCATAGCCAATATTCAAACTAGGTTGAACGGCTAACCATCTCACAGCACATACAAAGTCAAGCCTCAGGACTATCAAATGCTTGGAAAGCTTTGGCCAGGACTCCCACCCACTCTAAATAACATACAAATTCAAGTTGTGCCAACACACACCATTGTCCTGACCCTCTTATGGATCAAAGTTAGTAGTCTGTCACTAAGGCCGTCAAGCTATATCTCATCTATTAAGAAAAGGTGCAGCGCAGTAGTAAAACATGAAAGTGATGAACGGAACTATGAAACACATCATGCTCTATGTTACACCATCATTAGTACAATCATGGTCATCAAAAACCATCGATTACATAACATAATTTTAACCAGTAAACTTCTTTCCAAAAAAATAGTTTTAACCAGTAATGTAACTTCACTCCATATATCTGTCTTTCATTGATCCAGAACTTCCTTCTATGGTTCTACATTTCATTCCACAAGGATGAGAACATAACATGAGATAATGTTCATCAAGCACAAGCACTACACTGTGAAATATAATTAAGTGGCTCATCAGCAATGTAACATATTGTATGCTCATATACCAAACAGTTAAAGCAAACCTTTTCTCCACATACATATCTGCATCATTAACTTCCATACTTGTTCCAGTAGTGAAAAACCCCATAGTGAATGCATATCCCTTGCCTAGCTCCATTATTAAATTCCTTGACTTCCCACCATCACCATTCACCGCTATTACTGTTGGACCCAAGACTCTGATAAACCTCCTTTGAGGTTTACGTATAGAAGGAGAAATCAGATTTAAGTAGTTGAGTCGTTGTTTCTTAGTTTGAATAAGGGAGGGTAGTTTGGTAATTGTTTTTGGGTTTAAATAGTGGGCTGTTCGGTAGAATGGGTATTCTGTTTTTCAATTTCAGTTTAATCAGTTTGAGCGACAGCTCAGGGAGAGAACCCAGACCTCTCGAAAGTCTGGGGTTGTATCGATTTCATGTTTCAATAGATTGGCCGACGATTTCACAATTGCAAGTTACAATCGATGTGTTCTAGCTATTGTATTTCAGTTACTGTGTGTTTACCGCTTGCGATTAGGACTGTGGAGTTCGATTTCGGTTACGATTTAAGATAGGGTACATCAGACTCATCTCTGATTTCTTATGGTTCCAACCCTTCTTATGTGTGTGTTCCTTTCATTGAAGTGCTGATGCTCATCTGGTCATCTATATCCGACATTTGAAATTATTATAACTTAAAAAAATCCATGATCTCCTTACTCTCATCTAACCACTTAAGTTTCCTCTCATCATCTACCTAATAAGGTGCAAAACAAGCAAATTCAGTAACTTGGTCTCGTAATCAGCGACAATTATAATACATTTTTACGCATTCCAAATTCCTCCATCTTTCTCATCCGATTAGGTAAAAACTGTTACGGATCCAATTGTTATGGACCTAAGCCCACATAAACCAAATATTTTAAAGGTATATTCTAGAAGGTCCAAAAGGGTAGAAAAGGAAAGTGGCTAAGAATGTTTGTTGGAGGAGTGGTGCTTAAATAAGGAGGGGGCTGGAAAGGGTAGTCATTCTGTTATTTTTCCTAACATGTAATTGGCTCTTTGCATAGGCTTAGAGAGAGGGAAGTTTTCCYTGGATTCCCTGTTTGTTTCCAGCTTTTGCATTCAATTAAAATCAGCCGACTTACTCCTTCTCAACTCTGTCTTCTAATTTTCTTATTAATCTGATAATTGTTCTTCATCACTGGTCCGCATCGACCTGCTGTATGTCCATGGAAACCAGAGCTCAACAAACCCGTCTCGATCAACATGAGGAACAACTCCAGAAACTTCAGTCGGATGTTCTGGAAATCAAAACGACAATTAAGGCTTGGGAGGGCGATCGTGCGGAGGAGGAGGAATTTCGCAAAATCGTCATGTCCTGGGTCAAACAACAAGGTAAGCAGACTACTTCGGATGTTGGGGGACCGTCGATGGTGTCCAGTGGCCCTCCCCTCATTCCGACATCGTTGGTGGGTGATGTCCCGGTGCGTCAGAGCAGCGAAATCTCCAATTCGGGTTTTTCAACAGGAGGAGGATTTACGATGGCGTCGGGAGGGAGTCCTGCAATTATCGGCTCACAATCGGGATCTCCACAAGGATTTCCTTGGGCCGCAAAAAAAAATCAAGCTGTCGGAATTTCATGGTTTTGATCCACAGGGGTGGATTAAGAAGGCGGAATTGTATTTCGATATTCATGGTACGCCTCTTCATCTTCGCATTCATTTGGCGCAGTTAAGTACGGAAGGCGTCGCTCAACACTGGTTCACAATTGTTAGTCAGATTTATGATTCGATCACGTGGGAACAGTTCACCCGAGAGCTGTTACAGCGTTTTAGTGGCCTTGAAATACAGAACCCGTATG